TTTCAACCGTTGCGTATATTAGCTGCGACACATGAATCAAGATGCTATGACTGAAACATTTGATTGACAGATGATCGTTGATATATGATTGGCTGAATTTAGGTGTTCAGGCTGACGTAGAACTAACTGGCCTGCAGAAGATAACGAATAAAAAACACAGATTTTAAGACAGGATTTTTTTTTTTTATATATATTTTCTAAATTTTGGGACAATATGGTCTGATAAACAGAACATTTATATCCATGTTTAAGCCAGAATGATTTGACATTCAAATATGATTTCCCTACAATTTTAAGAAATGGGTTGAATACAGTTTGTCTGAGTGGAGTTGCCATATGTTGATGTCACAAGAAAGGGCGGGGCCCCGAGCAGATCTGGTACCTTCACCGGGAGACTTGGGATGTCTGTAAATTTCTCAGTTAAGAGTCATTGAAAAATCCAGGTTTTTTCAGCAAAAACATTTACTATTAGATTATTACTCATAACGTTATGGTTGATTAGTGTTTAACAAAATGCGGGTAACATTTCTAAAGATATTTGCCTTGTACTGCCCTTTGCAAACGGCTCTAAAGAGAAACAAACATCTATGGATCTGACCTGTGGTTGATCACCTCAACGTTTCCATACTGCTCAATCCACAGCTGACCCACAATGATGTTATGAACACAACAGGTAGGATTTGTCCATGTATAGGCTTCGTTATGCCTAAAGGAAAAAGAGAAAAGCTGTGATGTTTCAATTTCATTTTTAACAGAGACAAACAGTAGGTTTTATTTTTGATGTACTTGGGCAGCTCCAGTGTGATGATGCCTTTGGGCTCAGCTTCCACACTCTTGCCCCAGAACTTAAGTTTGGGGTAGATGGATCCATGAAACACAAAGTCCTGCTTCAGACCTTCAGCATGGAAGGCGCTAACAGGAGGGTGGTGGCTCACCTGCTCCGATATGAGCCTGAACCCCAGATCATCCCTGGGGAAAACACAGAGTTCACTAAGATCAGGCTGCATATTAATGAGATTTATTAAGCAAAGGATGTGAATAAATGAAGAGAAGCAAAGTGACGGTCAGAAGTTTGCAAACATTGATCTTTTTCCTCCTAATATGTGCAGGCTCAAATGGTTATACTATTATTTGATTAAAGATCCATCAGAAAACTGTATCACTAGGAGTAAAACAGTCCCTTAGCATGATGCAACCACCACCATGTTTGGCTTTTCTGTGTGAGCTTAGCTTTGTGCAGGGTTGTACCTAACCATCCTAAAGCTGTAATCAGAGAGGACAGCGTGGTGCAAATAAGTTAAAATAAGTCACAGTCTGACCAAACATGCCAAAAGTGGTTTTAAATGGGATAAAGAATCTTTTCTTTCCGTTTTTTAAACATATTTGTTTTAGGTATAAATAATGATGTTGCTGACCAGAATTCTCCTTAAAAGCTGGAATAATGGCAAGAAATCAAAACATTCGTTGTTTTTATTTTCAATAAAGAAGAGTAGTCAAATATTTATAAGAATTTAGATGGAAACTTGTTGATAAATCTGTTTTTTCTGTATATTGCTACTTTTATCCAGATAATGTTGGAGCTGTATGTTTATTAAATTTAAACTTAACTTTAATTATTTACTAATTTATTTAATTAAAAGTCTGGAGCCTTTGGCGATTAGAGAAAATATACATGACTTCAAATATCTGCATCTAAATATGTTAAATATTCATTAAATCATGAAACCCTAAGGAAAAAAAATACTTCAAGCAAAGCCTCTAAAGCTCAACTTTAATTAATGTGCAAAAGAATTGGCAGATAGAAACATAAACAAGTATCTAAAAAAGGCTAAAACCTGTGAGGAACATTGTGCTGCTATTCCACCCACCTGACCAGCTCATAGGTTTCTCCCAGTAGCGGGTTGAAGGGTTTCCCAGTCCGCTCCCACTGGGAGGCCACAGCAGACACGGCAAACGCAGCCACACACTGCAGAACACAGGATTTAAAGCACATTAACCTTCTAAAGTAAACGCCTCATTAAAGCGAACATAAAAGCTATGTTTTCATTCCAAGCTCAAGGACGTTTCAAATGACTCCACCTTCATCCTCTCAATGGATTCAGACGCTGCGTTGGCCTGATGGATGAGGTACGTGTGCTCCATGTACTCCGTTAGACGCTGCAAGAAGCTCAGAGGCTCGTTGAAAATAACGGGCATCGTAATCTTGGAGAGCTCCTGAAAGGAACATGGGAGCAGATGGGGACGAGGATTCATCAGAAAACGGACAAGAAGTTCCTCCGCATCAGCGTCTCAGATAGTGAAACGTATTCAGGCTGCATTTTTAAAAGTCATCTAACATGCAGTAAATTTATTTAAAACATCCCAAAGTGATAAAACATAGTATAGAAAATAAAAACATCCTGAAAGTAGAGAGATTAAGAGGAATTATAAGAATTTTACATTCCATGCTGGGATTATAGAGCCTTTTTAATCTGGAATTACATCACAAACCTGAAAACACTAAATCAACTGTGTGGATTTAACTCAGAATGCTAATAAACAGGAGTCTGTCTCCATTTGGATAAGCTCCTTTACCAAACTTATGCTAAACAAGCATATAAACCTTCTTATTCAGCTTTCTAACCATGATAAACAAATCAGGTTTTCCCTCCAGATAAATTCCAGTCATAGATTTAGAAACTTTTTTTCTGATGTTCCTGTTTGGCTGTGACTCCATCCTGGAGAGAAATATCAGCTGTGCTGCTGCCATCAACACCTTTG